GGGGGGCCGGGTTGGGGCGGGTGCAGGGGGGGGTAGGGGCTGCATTAGACGAGTAGCTGTGGTGGAGGCCGTTGGAGACCATACGAGAGGCTGGCCGCAATCTGAGAGCTCGCGATGCCCGAGGCTCATGACTGTACCATGCGCCTGGTGGTGCCCCAGCACGCACCACCACCCCTGCTGGACCCCAGGTTGACCGCGGGATCTTGTAACAATCCTAATCCTGCTGCAAAGTCGCCCCTTGTCAACCCACCGCCAACAACACCGCGCTCCTTCACGCAGCGCGGCACCCCGACTTATGAGGCACCCGCCCCGCAGGCGAGGCGAGGGCAATCACTGGCCGCGGCGGTCGCAGGCGCCCGCACCCTGATCTGGACGCCTGCCCGCTCAGCCAGCGCGCGCGCCGCGCCAGCCGCCTCCGCCGCGAGCAGCACGCCCGCGTCCGGCTGCAGCAGCGCCGCCGCGCCGGCGGGCAGCCGCAGCGGAGCCGACCCGAGGCGCTCCTGCGCCTGCGCCGGGGTTTGCAAGGGGGGAGGCGCTTGAGGGGCATAGGGCCCGGGGATGCGCGCAGCTGGCACGCGCCGACTGTCCCCTTGTGCATGGTCGCCCTGGGCACTCGGCTGTGCGCCTCCCAGTTGCGGGCTGCCGGCAAGGCGACAGAGCGACGGGTTCCTCAACCACTGGACCTCCTCGCCTCGGCTCCATTCAAAAAGCTACAAGACCCAAGGGCCACGCACCTCGCCCGCGCTCAGCAGCGCCGCGCGCGCGCCCGCGGCGGCCGCGGCGGGCGCGAGGCGCGCGAATAAGGCGGCGCCAGGGTGGTCGCGGTCGGGGTCGAATACGATGTCAAGGGAGGGGCACGGCTGCACCAGCCGCGCCCCCGACACCAGTTCCAGCCCGCGCCTGCGCATGCGCGCGCGTGGGGCGGCCGTCCCCAATCGTCGAGGCATGAAGAGGCAGGGCGCAGCGAGCAGGGTGCTGTTGCGGCCGGTGGCGCGAATCACTGGGTCAAGGGTGGGGAGGCTGCAGGGCAGGGAGCGCGGCGCGGCAGGGTGCATAGGGGAGACACGAGCGGGGCGCCCCTGTCACCAGTATGCGGCGGCCTCGACTGACAGGTGCGCCAGGAGGGGGCTGGGGTGCGTGATCTGCAGAGCATGGTGCGTCGGGGCAGGGGGTGGGGGCTTGGCCGTGTGGCTGCGGCGATCGCCATGACACAGCGCTGCGTCGTCGGGCCAAGCCAGCCACGCCAATGACTGCACAAAGCATCAGGGGCGGTGCGCAACGCGGCTGCAGGCGGCATGGTATCAGGTTTGTGGCGCTGACCTTTAGAGGCTGGAGGGCCGGCGGCTGCGGCGATGGCGCCTCAAGGCCGAAGCTGGGCAGGAGGATCACCTGCCGCCGCCGCGTTTATGAGCAAGACACACATGAGATGTGCGCCAAGCCACGCGGGAGAGTGCAGCGGCTGGATCCGCAGCGCGACATGGCGTTGAAAGCGCGATCCCAGATCGCGAGGCGGGGGCGCGGCCGCCGGCCGGCTGGTGCGTTCCCGCTCTGCGCGCAGCGCGCCTTGCGTCCGGCCTTCGCGATCGAGTATGCGGCCAGGTAGCCCGCAGCTGAGTCCCCGATCACTACGACGTCCGCCGCCCGCCGCTCCACGACTGTCGTGGATGCTACCCCAGCTTTCGCGCCATCCGGGCCGAGTGCGAACGCAGCAGCATGGCGCCGCGCCCCGACGCGTTTAGCCACGGGCAGTGTACGGCGTGCCGGTGTGCCGGAACTGTGCAGTCTCATATTGTTGGTTTTCATCGCATTTGGTGTGAAGCCATCACACTGTATGCCAGGTTTTTCTTTGGGACGGCACCTGTTCACTCATCGAGTGACGGGTGCCCCGGAGGTTTCGGGGGGCACGAGTGTCCGCACACCACATCCACGCAGCCGCTGCTTCAAGTGACTTTGACCTTTATTGAACCTGATCGTGGTGCAGTCAGCTATCGAAGCACCACTGAGATCGCGAGCCGAGGCACCGGGTATCCAGGACCGGCAGCATGTGTCTTTCAGAAACGGAGGACTCATCGTCGCCGCACGCGGGTGCGTGCGAAACCCGCCATGTGTGCGAACAACAGCGGTTCGAGCCGCCAGCCCTTCATAGCAAGCTCATTGATTGTTTAAGGCCATGTTGAATGCGTTCGTATCGATCCCGAGGGCCAGCGGGCGGCTGTGTCTGAGGGTCGTTGCCGATGACGCAGGGCGACGCACGCCCACCGCGAGCGCCGCGGCCGCGTCGCTCGGCCGCCCCCGCAGACCCCACGCCGATGTCCGCGAGCGCCCTTGTGGACTGCCAGTTTGGGTCCTGGTACCCGCGCTATGCGGCGCTCGCGCCGGAGGCCGAGGTGATCCCTCTGAGCGACGAATTTGCCGCGTTCCTATTGGAAGACGGCATCGTGCTCGCCGATGACTCGGACGCGGTGAGGCACGCGGCCGGGCTGGCGAGGGGCGCATGGCCGCACGTGTGCAATTCTGCAACATGGATCTGTGCCGCGCGGCGCGTGGGTGGCTGCGGCGCGGCCGGGGGGCGGCGTCCCCCACAACTCGGCGCGAGGCTCGCGGGTCGGCTGTGAAGTCCGCACATGGGGGTTCATGGTGTGAATGGCGCATGGCTGCTGTGATTTTGAAATTCAAGGATCAATCTCAAAATGAGTCGCATTGCACCACAGCCAGACGCAAGCGCCGTTGGTGGCGGCCCCTTGACACGCGCGCGCACCCCGCGGCGCGCCACCCGCCCCTTGGGCAGTTCCCCCGCCGCGCCCAGCCGCCCGCGGCCGGCGTAATCATCGACGAGGATGACTACCAGCCGGAATTTTCAGGGTCGGACGATGATGAAGATGACGGCGGCGGCGACGGCAGCGGCAGCGGCGCCGACACCGGCGGGCCCGCGGGCGCGGCGTCGCCGTGGGCGCTCCGCTTCCCTGAGC